AAACTCATGGGAACACTTTGTACCAGCTCATTATGGCACAGTAATCCAATAATCCAAGACAGACAAATACAGGAAAAACCCGTAACGCCAGCCCAACATTTTAACTAAAAGCAAGGGCAAACGGTTCAATTAATACAACTACAAAACACAGCATGTAATGTAATCACACACACAGACACTAGCCATTTTCTGCAATGGACACAATTGGCTCGCATGATGAAACTGGCTGCGTGCCAATTTTTGGAACTAACAAATTCTTTCCAAGTACTGGAGGTTCTGCCGTGTCACAAGGATACCCAAGGTTTCCAATGTTTTTCTAGCAATTGCAGAAACCACATCACATTCATGCCAGCATAATTTGTTGCAAAGTAAATAATTGACAGCAAAATAGAGATATCTAAACCACTGCATTCAAACCATATTTCTAGAAAAAGTAAATTTACAGCAAAACATTTTGACAAATCAAGTGGCCAGACTAGCATTCAGAATCATGTTAAAAATTTCTAAATTCTTTACAGCTGATTATTATTATAAAATCTAAACAAGTCCGGTATGTCAAGAGCCTTTTCAATTGAGCTAATCTGCGACAAGGTAAAACTCAACTAGAATTACAAGTCAGGGCGCAGCTTCCTTAACAACCATTTCTTTCGTAGTTTTGGATCCAGTGCCATAAATGTTTTTGCTTTCATTTCATCCTCTAAGAAGTCACATGCATCCAATATAAGGTCTTCATCCATGTCTGGCAATTCTTGTACCGCTGCAATTACATTCTCTATTGAAACTGTGTTTGAAGTCTCCTCATCTTTCTTCTTCTCTGTCAAAGAAGAAACAACAGTTGCCATCTTACGACTGGCACTAGCCATCCTGTCGTCTTCACTTCTTGATTTCTTTGGATGTGGAGAACTAGACTGGTTTCCTGATTGTCGTTTGCCCTTCATGTTAGACCCAGCAGTCTTTGAAAGCCTATGTCCTGTCTCCAGTGCATCACCAACTTGATCTTCACTAGAAACTGATTCTGGTGGAGACTGAGACCTCTTTCCTGAACCATGGGACTTCTCTCCTTGGACCTCATTTTGTGGCTCCAAAAATTGAGGGGAAAAGCAGTCACTATCATCAGCATTTCCATCTCTACATATGACAGGCAAGTCTTTGTCGTATGGCACAAGACTGATCATGAATTGTTGTGCATCAGCGTGTTTCTGCAAGTTTTCAGATCAAAGCATTTTAAAGCCCCAATGGAAGAATTGAGCTCATGTCATTAGGTCCAAAGATACAAATTTATGATTAACATACACTCACATCTAATGAGTCTCACATTTTAGTTAACAAGACTGTATTAAACAGGAAACAAAGTCACAATTCTGAATGCTAAATTTAGGATATATATATATATAT